AGCTCCTGGGACAGGACTTGCGGCCTTTTATCAGCAAGACATTTAATACCTAGTGGGTCTCCCGGGTCCTGTACGACTCTCGCACTTCGTCAACCTGACCGTATTTGAACTCTGTTTGGAGGTGTGAAAGCGGAAGCTGCTGGGTGAGTTACAGAGGAGGTTAATCCCAACATGTCATTCTGTTTGGCCCCCCCAAACCAGGAGGAACGGAACCTGTGGACCACTTGATGTAGACTACTGTTCATCGATAAAGCCACCCTTATCCTTATCCCCTGATGGAGATGAAAAACCATTCTGGTAGGGGGGTTCTATTGATCAACAGTCTACATTCCTTGAAACTGACACTGGCACCACGCCTTCCGAAACAAGGAGGACATTTTCGGACACCTCACCGGTCCTCACCTCGTCCGCGGTTCTTGTGCTTTTGTGCCCCACCCCCCACAGAGGGCTGATGAGACGTTCGTCGGCGCCAGCCTTTGTTCACGCTCCGGATGGCTTCAGTGGACATCGTCGCAATTCCCACCGCACAAGCATGCCTCATCGCCCATCGGTGAAGACCGCGGTCTGAAGCACAGTTCTGAACCAAAGGCCCAGAAGAACACCAAGTTGCTACATGTCCCAAACAGAAAAAAAACAAACACGCTAATTCGTATCGCTAGTCATCCTAGATACAAATGATTTCGTGGAAGTTGAACGTTGACATACATGTGGGGCATCCTCAGTTCCCCACAGCAAAGGATAATTAGTATCCCCACTATAGGATTTCTAACGTCTTCCTTCAGCCTTTGCTTTTAGATATACATCCGTGGGTGTTGAACTGCTCCATCTTCCATCGAATTGATGAAATATGATGAACAAAGATGCGCAAATGATCCCCTTTATCTCACAGCCAATGGAATCCATTGAGCCATCCTATAGAAGAACATATATACGATATATATATATATATACCCAAACAGTTGTGTTCCTGACCTTAGTTAATGGCATATGTTACTTCTCGCTATACCGAAAACTCTCACCACCCAGACCGTGGGGGATTCGTCGCCTGCCATGCCGTGCCATGCGTGGACCCCGGCGAGGTCTCGCGGATTGAAAAGGTCATGACGGTTGGCCAAGAATTGGTGATTTGAGTCCCGAAGACTCCATGGGACTGCCATATTTAACATATCCATGTGGGCATCTCTATGGCTCACGGGGTGGCATGCGATCCGGCGACCACGAGGACGACAAGAGTGCCAGCGACCACGATCCGTTCTCGTCCCGTTGTCGTGCGTTCTCCCTCTTTGCGGGGTCAAGAGCGAGCCACAAATTTCCTTAGCAACCTCCTGACCTTGGGTGCTTGAAACCAGATCAAGAAAGCCTGAAACCAAAACCACAACAACATGACCTCACCTGACTTCACCTTCAAAGCCTTTGAAACCACAACAATCCAGTGAAGCGCTTTCACCCCACCCACTCTGCTCCCCATCTGGGAAGCCAGGTCACTCAGTCCCCTCCGCAGTGATCTGCACGGCGGGCCAGAACCGAAGCGAAACGAAGGACAAAGGCGGAAGGCTATGAGCCCTCCAAGTCATATCGCACAAGGTGGATGCACCAGGTGGAGGGGGGAAAGTGGGAGAAATCCCCCAAAACATGTTGAGGGAAATCATGGGAAATCCCAAGGTGGATGCTTTTGGCATCGTTTGGCCCGAACAAGGACTGCCAGGTTTAGAGCTAAGCCCTTCTACCGCAACGTGAAGCGGGGCCGAAAATCCCGAAGACCAGGAGTAGGAGTCGTCGATCTGTTCACCAGCCAGGGGGTCTAACTACCTTAGGAGGACGTGGTTGTAGTGCGACTATAAAGTGGACGGCCAATCTGTCACATCGGAGTGTTGGGCGGTGAAGACCGTTCCAACCCCCAAAAATGGGTTGGCATGCCTAGTAGAGGGTCGAAGCAAAAACAACAAGCAAACACACTTCATTGGTGACTGATTGCGAGGTGCTCCGGCATCAGTGGGAAAAAGAATAGCATGTAAACAACATGTAAAATCACACCAACATGGTGAACTTTAACTTGTGAGCCGGGGTCCAAAAGAACCCCAAACGTGCAACAACGATGACCGTCCCATTCTCCAGCCAAACAAAGAGGAAGCTGTAGCCATAATGCATAGTCGTCAACCTAAGCAAAGGCATTATAGCAACTTTGGACCACACCCTTTGGTGTCGTGCCCCCCGGCATAGCCCGGCACCATGCATGCTGGCCCTACCCGGCGCGACCGGCGCGCGCCTGCACGCCGGCGCCCTCTTCCACGTCCTGGCACCGGGGTGGGTGACCTCCAGGTGGGTTCTAATGGGTGACACCAAACACGAAGATGGGAGAAGCGCAGCTTTCCCAGGGCCCACATCAATGGGAGCTTACTTCGGGCTTCAGCAACAGCAAAGGATGTGGTAATCTAAGTCTAGCATCTTCACAGGTAGACTCTGTCGTCTGCTGCCCAAACTCTCTGACAGTCACCCAATACTCTTCCACTCCATAGTGCACGCAATGCCTCGCATGTCTCAGGCGTTGCCTTTGCAACAGTCGACTGACAAGTCTAGCTCCAGCCCAACTCGTCACGCATCTCTGGTTTGCTGTACCACCCTTGCTCCTTCTGGTCTGCATCAGGGCCTGCTTCTTGGTCATGATGGTGTGCATGCTGCATGGTGTTCAAGAACTCCTCCTTCTCAAAGCTACAGCCATCTGGGTCACAGCCGTACACCGATCCATCTGTCCCTCACCGTGGACCTGGACCATATTTATTGTCATTCAAGTGAACTCGGGCTGCGGCTTGGCCCTGGCTTTTGCTTCGGTCCCACCATCGGATGTAGGACGTGCTGTGCTCAGTGACAGCACCGCAGCTGTGCCCCGGTTTTGGCTTCACTCCGCACTGGTCGTGCTTCTTTGGGAAGAGGGGCGTCACGCTATTGACTCCTTGACTCGCCAGTCACTGCTGTCCGTACAAGTCACTCAAAACTCAGGGTTTTAAAAATGGGTGTTGTTTGCTTTGTTGTGTTCTCCAAGGGTTTGGCATGTACCTTTCTTGGCTGCCTCAAGGACATTAGTTTATCCATACTACAAAGGGTGACGTTCTTGTTCAAGGACTCAAAGTGTCAAAGAAACCATCAACCATGCAAAAAAGATATGTTCATCGGCTAATTGAAATTGCGGTGCTTGAGCTTGGCTACTTGCTCCAAAGGCTTCTGCTGACATTGATATTTGTTCAATAAAGTCTTTTCGCTTGCAGAGTGAGGCTTTGCACAAAAGGGAAACCATGTAACTGTGTCTCCCAAAACAGTGTTTCCTGAAAAACAACTACATTATGTTCATGCAAACATGCAACATCTTCAACAACAATGCATGTTGTAGGGTGCAATGCTCAAACAGTACTCTTCGGGAAAACAATACTCTTTAACTGTACTTCAACATCCACTTCCAAAAAGCGAGCTTCCGATGTACAGGTCGGCGAACAATGCAAGGTCCAATCCGGCCGGTCTGGGATGCATCTAAAGCCGAATCAACTCTCTTATGTCTGGTATAAAGACTATCGTTTGACAAACATTGGGTCTCCCAGGTTTCTGGCAACCAAAAGAAAGAGTTACCTTCCATATTCTGCCATGTTTTTTTTGCAGGGTGGAAAACATGTTTGCAGGGCGGAGAAGGCTCAATTGGTTGAATCCAGTGGCGATGATCCGCTTATAGAACGAATATTAAAAAAGAAACTGTTCTTAAAGCATCATGTCTTTGGAAGGGAGCTACTTTCCTACGGCTGAGAATCATCAGGCTGGGACTCTTGTAATGATGAGGCAACTCCAAACCTGCAGAAAGCTTCATGTCTAACAAGAAATCTCCGAGTCCCGAGTCCCTGCACCAATTTCTGACAATGCCTTTCTGATGCATGTCTCCAGTGGTTACCCCTAATGGCCCTCCTTCTCCGCGCGGAGCGCTGCGGAGCCCCGTGGTGCCTCCATCTCTCCGCCTTTGCTGGTGAGGCCAGGGCACATGATCGAGGCGCCTCGAAGCACGAATTTGATGGCCTTGGTGCACCGCTGCCATTCAAAGGATGCGGACCACCCCCCGCGGCGGTTGCGCACTGGTGCAGCACCAGCCCAACCCCCCAATAGGCGCCTATTGGGGGGGGAATTGGGAGGGAGGTTGGGCAAGACCGGAGGGAACACTTCGCCTTTGCGTCGGAGTTTTGGCATCCAAAGCGAAGGGATTCTGATCCCAAAAAGCGAAGGTGCTGGTTGCGGATGTGTTTCGATGCCTCCAACCGGAGTCGTCCAACGCCGGCCAGGTCACCATGGATGAATTTTCCGGCAGGTTCATCGACTGGAGGAGCACGACCCAAGGATATTTTACTCAAAGCTGCCTCTTGGTGTTTCGTGGTGTTGGTCTTCTCATGGGCATGAGTTTGTGTTCAGCTCAAAAGTGTGAAAATGCTGGACATTCATCATACTGTAAGCTTTTGCTCTTTGACCACTGTTGCTGGGTTACCGGGACACGCCCTAGATAGGCAAACCCATGCAAATCCTTTGGGCATAGCTCACTACCAGTCTTGGAATCGAAAGGTGCCAACGACTCCCCGGTGATACCACTTGGTGGGACTGGAATGGGAGTTGTTCAGTGTGACTGAAGTGGTACACTCCAACACCAACAAACATGGAAGTGGAGTAGGCCTCCAGGCCCTGGCTGACTAGAATTTATCAATTTTCCATGTCAGTTTTTGTTTCAAGACGTTTCAAGGGGTTGCTGGCTCTACGGGTGGAGGGAGATCTCCTGGGAGGATTGAACAATCAATTCGATCTTTTCAAGAAGTCATCCCAAAATATACCAAACATTGAGATTTATTAGGATGGCCAGCCTTTCTCCCGCACAGTACCTAGTTGGTCCAAGTGCTTTCACACATCCACCCTTGTAGCAAACTAACAAACACTCCTTGCTTGCAGTGAAGAAGCTCCCTTGTCCACCTGCATCTTCGGCATCATCGACCTCGATTATTAAACGCCCAAGGGGACGGGCGGGCACAACAAACACACGACGGATTTGGGAGCAAAACCATGAGGTTCAAGAGTTTTCACCGGAAACGTAGTCAACACAATGTAAAAAGTCTAGGGTCAAGCCGGTGAAACAAAGTATTCTATCATGGTTCATACTGTCTTGTCGTTTGAAGTACCTGGTTGCTAGTCACTAACGCGTTCTCCATTGTGATGAGCAATCATCAGTCGTTGGCTCCACGCAGTCCTGTTGTCCAAACATTGTCCCAAACATGACTTCATCCGCGGATTGATTCTGGAACCCCACAGCACACACGGATATTGTTTTTGTTCACTGCCCAGTCATGCTCATCCTAAGACACGGTTTGATAACAGTGAAAGTGAGACCTGGGATATATACGGAATACTCATCATGAACTTCCAACATGGCTGAAATCCACCTGGCGTCCATGTACAATCTCTTGCCAAAGCACGGATACTTGTGCAGCAAGCGTAGGGTCGGCAGCCAGGGCCCGTCTCGTTCTTGCCAAAAGAGTGGGACCTCAGGCAGCCAACGTTGGCCGCGATCCCCAGCTCTTGAGCGATGGGAATTTGGGGAAAAATGAAGAAAGTGGCTCACGTCTCTGTGCGTCCTAGTGACCATGTTTGGTACTCTATTCTGTTCATGTTCAACTTTCAACCCCATGACCATATCGATTGGTTGAACATCGGGAGGCACCCTCGCAGAAGAAGAACAACTTGAGAGAGGAGGGGGTGAACGAAAGGTAGCAGGCAATCACAAGTAACCCTTGTAGAAGTCCACGACGGCGTGAACCGGCGCAGGGGGGATTTGATCCAGGGGGGGAGGGGCCCCCCCCCCCGGACGAACAGAATCAACTCTTACAGGACCAAATTCAATGCACAATCCCAACTCCTGATTGTAATACATTTTTGCTAAATCAAGGAGAACTCAGGTAGCTCAAGCTACCTTTCGTGACAAGAAGGAACGTCGAGGAACATCCTCGATCAAACGAAGAAGGGGTACCCAGGTACCTGAAATTGAGATAAAGTGGAGCCTCGTTTCGTGAGCCTGGAGGATCATGATCTCTTGATGTCCGCATCACAACGGGGTCTTTGAGGTTCTTCTCTTGTCTCCTGATGGAGCTCTGATGCAAGGTTTGGTTTATTCTCGGGGGTGAGGAAAGAACACATCCGGATCCCACGTTGCCTTCCCGCACTTGAAATCTCAGTCAATCCTCCGATAGAATGGGAGAAAAAGTACTGGCCGAAGTCGTGTACCCTATACTTACCTCAAAGAGGGATTCTTCAAAATTAGTAAAATGAACAAAACATATCTCAACACCTTGGTGGAAGCTGAACAACAACAACAACAACAACAAAAACTCAAAACATTGGGGGAAACTGTGCCAGCATCTGCTCATTTACATCAAGTGTCCAAATCCTACCTCGGATGTAGGTTTCAATGCCAAGGAACCTTTTTTTTTGCACGAGTGGAGACGCCATGTGTGCGGTGTGCACAGGTCATCTGTTTCAATGCCAAGGAACCTTTTCGATGAGCACCAAAGAGATGTGATCCTTACACTTGGCCTCCAGTTCGAGTTGGCTGGAAGGTTGGGATGGCTTTTGACGAAAAAGCCGACCAAATCAATTCTAAGGGATTTGAGCTGAATCTAAGCTGACCGTCATCTGAACTGAACTGATGCCCCTAACTTCCAGGGCCACACGAGGTAACAAGGCTTACAGGGCAATCTTGTCTTTTGTTGCTCTTTTCCTTGAACACAATGAACTTCTCCAGCAGTTTAAGAACCCATGGAACACACGCACAGTCACCCCTCTTCAATCCTTCACGATGTCTGTTCGTTTGGTGGATTCGTCGCCGGAGTTGGAGGGAGCTGAGGGAGTTCGCCGCCTCCCTCCAGCAGCTTATCATACTTCAATTGCGGAATCGGACTCGTTTGCCGGAATTCGGCTGACCATCCAATTGACCATTCGAGTTTGGGCAGAATTGGCCCGAAAGCAATCCTCGAGGGTCGTGGATTGTAGTGCACACCAATCCCGAAAGGTCCCAGAAGAAGCAAGGAGACATTCAAAAAGGAGCACAAAGACGTTCCCAGAAAAACAAACATAGGAGATGAGGAGTTCAAAGAAAGTACAAGGGGACTCACTCACTCATGAGTCATGAGGAGTCAATAGTGTGGGATTTGGAATCCATGAACCCACCAGCTGACCTGATGCGAAGTTGCTTTTCCTAAAATCCCAAACGATAAAACCAGCTGGTGGGCGTGAACAGGTGCCACATGTGGGATCTGCCAGGCACCGGGCAATACCGGGCTGCACACAGAAACGAGGTAAATGAAGCGGTTGTGACCCCACGATTGATAGAAAAAGTCACTGCTCAAGATGTCTTGTCTTGGCCACCGTTGTACTGTTCTCTTAATCTGTATCCATCTCACTCATCCAAGCAGCGATCACCATGTTGGCATCCTGCCAACGTGCCCGTGGATGGATCAGGTCCAGACACCATGCTTCACAGGTGAGTGTCAACACGCAAATTGGGTAGCCCTGGTGGAATGGAGGGTCATTCGAGCTACAGCTGTCCGGAACTCCCGTATGATCCAATCCAAGCGTGCGGCTGGTCCTACAGGATTGGGCCCAACGGCTCTAGCAAGCGAAGATGGTCAAACCTACGGAAAGCACGATGCTCCGCAACCCACTCGCATACTTTTACTCCATTTTACTCCTTCAATATCAAGAGTCTGTTCGCCACATCCTCTGAACCTGTCTGGAACATATGACAAAATGGGGATAACACAAATTACATTCACCCGAAGCAAAATTGGGCCACACCAGGCAGTCCTTAGGCCAAATCTCCTTGAAGACGGGCTCCAGGCGCGGGAACTGCTCCTGAACGCCAAACGACGGCAGAGAGGCCACTCGTCGCGAGGTCGGAGGTTTCTGTGCGTCGTCTTGGGGGACATGACCTACAAAAGTGGATTTTCTCCTATAGGCAGTACTCTCAAGTTGAGGCTGAGACGACTATACAGGGTATTCCTCTTGCGTGGTCCTATTGACTATGCCCTGACGGCCCCTCAAGTATGGTTTCAAAAACACTCCTTCTTTGCTTAGCACTTAGCACCTTGGTGTCACCTGCGCCGCGGTGTCCAAACAACTGTAGCGGTTAAATAGCAAGCGCTCTTTGGACCTGAAGACCAGGTAAGCGCGAGACATGATTCATCCTATTGAGCTATGGAATCAACATGATTCAACCACTCTGATGCTCCGCTAAAGATATCAAACACTTCTGAACCAGTGTCAAGTGGACAGGTGAACCAGTGATGTCCTCATGAGCTTGGTCTCACCGGCTTCCACCTTGATTTTTTCTTGATGAGGGCCATGCCAACAACTCCTTTGAGAAACTCAAACAGAGTTCTCTTCGATTTTGGGAGGTGAATCCGGTGAATTAAGTAACTTAGCGAACTGCCAGCGCTGTTTGAGCGACACAAGCACAAACCGTGCCGCTCTTAGGACCTGTTTGATTGCCCCAAACAAGCCACACAACGGAACGTTTGGACTTGGATTCCAGGCCTGAAGAAGTCCCCGGCAAGTCCAAGCAACTTCAACAAACATCAGGCAAGTCCATGGTTTCATCCATTTTGGGGGATGGGTCGTGGCAGTCGTGGATCTCTTACTTGACCTATTTGGCGGACCGGTGGTTCCATGGCTGACCAGGACGGCTCCAGGTCTTCCATCGATCCATTCGATGACCCCACCATGCACGAAGGGGTGGACCTGACAGCGGCCCGATGACCCACCTGGATCTTCTGCTTGATGCCCCGTTGGACAGAGCTCTTCACCTGGCGGGCACCAACATGTGCTTGGTGGTGACCATTTTCTGACTCCTGCTTGGTAAGGAATAAGTGGTATATGGATTCAAGGGTATCTCTGGTTGTGGGGGGTCATTCATCCTCATTCCCTACGAGTCGCAGCAGTCGGTTTTGCTGGACGGAGGCTGCCAGCCTCACACCCACGCGGTGGGGAGCTGGAGTCGAGAGCTGGTCAGCTTGTCTGGTGGGGAGCCGAACCGGTACTTCTTGGGAGGTCCACCCTAAAGGCTGGTCAGAATAAACCACCAAGGCCACAGGCCAAACATGTATGAAATCGATTCATGCATATTCATGCTGATTCATGGCCTCGCAAATTGGAAGGGAGAGTAACGCAGATGTGCTCTCCCAAAAATCCCCCGTCCCTGGGTATACCTGGGTCATCCTCTCCCAACGGCGTGACCGGGCATACGCGGTCATGCGATTCTCTGCCTGGTTCTGTCCGGAGACATCCGCTGGAGTAAAGCCCTTGAACATGGCGACGGCAGCTCGGCAGCTCGATTCTTTTTGGCTGCGCCCGTGTCCAATGTAGCTTTGTTGGGAAGGAAGGCTGGTTCATATGATATTGAAGGAGGATCCAACGTGCATGTTCAACAAACGCCGCTTTCTTCAAGGTGGGTTTAAGATACAAGTGGTCAATTTGATTCAATGTTGATTCATGTTGATCAATGATCTTGTGATGTTTTGTGCGTTTGACGATGGGTGGAGGATGACAACATGAACACTTTGCACGCCTCTGTCTCAGCTTCTACCAAGATCTGCCAGCCCAATAGCAGCGGATTCGGATGGCACGTTGCAACTTCCTCGTTGCGACCTAACTTGGAACAAAACAACAAGGTTGGGACGGGGAAAACAAACAAAGTAACCAGCAGTTCCATATCTGGGTGTTTGTGTCCCATCCTGCATCATGGGCACCGCCTATCCTTTAACAGGCACCCCGACATGGGGCCTGCTGGCCTGCAATATAGGACGTTTTCTGTCATTGATACCCCCCCCGGCGTCTTACTGGCGGATGGTTTTGTTATCTCAATGGCGGGTTCCACGTGACACGTTCCTCGTGGCCAATTGTAGAATCGCCACCCCATCCGTCGGTTTTCGGGTCAGCGGCAAGTTAAGTGGCAGTGCCCGAGACTCACAAAAGACTGTAGCACCCGGAAAGAAAAGAAACAAACACCAGAAAGGGATTATCCATACGGAAAACAACGAATCACCTTTAGCAAAACCAGGTACCTTATTGTCCCCCAAAAAGCCTCGGAAACCTACACCAAGCATGTAGGAGCATCTGGCGAATCTGGGAGCGTACACTAAGACGCAAGGACTGACGCAAGGCAGTCTGTGGCACCTTCCTGGCGGTCCCCGTCTGTGGACCCCGGGCCCGGCCGGATCAAGGCGGTGGCAGCCTCTCCGATGAGTCGACGGTTTCACCGCCGTTTTGGACCACTCCGACTCGTTTTGGCCAGGAAAGTGGAGTGAAAAGACCATGTGCCTTCACCGTAGTTCGTGAGAAAGGAACGCAGGGTTTGAACCTCATGCTTCTCTTCTTCCGGGAGCCTTTTCATCCATGCCATCCAATCTGTGCTTTAGTTCAAAATTGGTTGTAATTTATATATTATATATACAGTTATTCAAATAAACATCATCCTCTTCCTTTTGAATTTACTATAACTTGCTTTTCTCCTCTCCGTATCGACCTTCAGTGCATTGTAGGCGCTCCTCACCAAGCGGTGCGACCTCGAACGTGGCGAGCTTCAAGTGTGGCGAAAACAAGAAGAGGACCCATTTGAGACACCACAGGCATGAAAGGTCAGCTCTTTTTGATAGTTTGTTGTAGCTGGCGGAACATGGGCTTTCAATCAAGGACACGGACGAGGGGAGGATGGGAACATGAGGGAGAAACAAAAGCAATCCCTAGACATCAGGTAGAAGCCAAAAGCCTGAAGGAACATCCAATTGGCATGAATGTCTCGCTACAAAAACCACTAGCTCGTCGCTGCTGAAGGTGACGAAAGAGTTGAGGCAACAGAATAACGGGCTTTTGGTCAAGACTCTGCTGCCTCAGTGTGAACACCTAGAATGGTCTGAATGGTCCAAACATAAGACGTTCACCAAACTGAATCTGCTGGCACCTTGTCGTGGCTTTGCGGGTGACGCCCTGGACGTCCATCCACTTAGATACCGTACCTCGACCTTTCCAACGTATCTTCAAAAAAATGGGACACAACCGGTACTGGCACCCATTCTCCGAGGTAGGAACTGAGACTCCAGGTTGAACGTCTGCCGCTCAGTGAATGGTATGCAGCTACTTGGACCATTCAACCATATCATGTCTTCCATGATTGAATGCGGATGTACGCACAATTCCTGTCAGGATAGTCCTTCAAGTGTTTCAAGCTCCAATCATCCTCTGTTTTTTAGAAAACCTCTGTTCTTTTTTGAATGTGACTGACAGAGCTTCTCGGATTCTGCCACCCGCTTCTCCGCCCGAGAACCTTGGGTGGACCACCTTGCTCCACCTACTCGGTGGCCACCGGTCTCAACCAGAACTGTGCCCAGGTGCTCGTCGTCACAGTGGCCCACCAAGTAGGTCTCGTTGAGATCCGCGTGGAAGCCCTCGAGGCCTCAGAAGAAACATGTGGAGTAAGGAGTGGTGGGTGGGTGGGGGTGGGGGTGGGGGTGGGGATACTTCACATGATATAAAACCATCCAAAGAAGGCTACGAGGATCCCAAATATCTTCAACACGAAAGTTCATGAAAGGCCAAGGGGTGAGCACCTTCTCTTTGGTTTTGGTCGTGGTGCCGGTACTCGTCCACTTGCAAATGAGATGACTGGCGGTTTTGGCGGCATGTGAGCCGGCGAAGGAGGGACCGGGAACTGCGGAAAACGGTCCCCGAAATAGAGCCCAAATGCATCCAAATGCTGCCGGCCCCCGAAGAAGGAAGTTCCGTCCGGCCTCCCCCTGCTGGTCTCTGGGTTTCCACGCAAACACTTACATCTAAATTCACCTGGCGAAGCCATGAGCTCGAGCGAAGACGTGCGAAGGACCAGGGTCTCTGTCATCCGGTCATCAACAGACCCTACTAAGGCCCTACTATACCACGTATAGTTAAGATATTTTTTTGTCTTGCGGGCGAAAACATGGGACTCCCCACTAAATATGGCCCTGGTCGGACAACACTTCGCTTGCAACAATAAACAGCACGAAAAGACGACAACAACAACAACAACAACAGCCCCTGGAAGGACTCTTCAAGTGATTCCTCGTCAGAGTGTCGCTGAGTGTCGCGCCAATACGGCAGGCTGCTATGGTGGGGGCGCGACAGCGCGCCCGCGCCCTAGTACTAGGAGCACTATAGAAAAAGCACAACAACACAACATGGAAACATATGAAAAAAAAACACACATGGAACATGGAGTCTTACCTCTCAGCAACGCTGAAGTCGTTACAGGCATAGCTCTGTATGATGCCCACAGTCACAGTCAGGTAGTGGTGCTCGCTCAGCACTGAACAAATATGTTCCCACATTGAGCGGCCCCTTTAAGAATATAAACACCCCTGCACACATGCATGGTAAAACCTCTTCAGGCCTTTCTGGCGTTGACATATTCATCAAAAAAGTCTATCCTTACGTTCACTTTTCACCCAAAAACCTCATGGGTCCAAAGCTGCCGCCCCGTTGCTCCTCGCTCGCTCGTGTGGCGGTCGCTGCGCCGGTGCGGCCAGATCGCCGTCCGCCAAGGGACGGCTGTCGGGGATCCCGTGGCAAATCACCTGCCGGCCCGGCTAAGCCGGACTCTGTCGATGTACCGGCTGTTTTCAGGCGATATTAATTCAACTGTCATTTGTGTACACTATATATACCAACCTGATCGACCCCTGTTTGGGAGCCAAAACATGGTCTTTCCTATCAAAACAAATGTCAAATATACAATATACAGTACAAATCAAGTGCGTGGTATATATGACCAGGATCTATAAGGATTGTATCGTGAACACATGTGTGAAAACGAGTGAATATTTATCCAGCTTTTATGCTGTGCTCGTCACTTGGATGATGCTAGCTGTTAACAAGCATCCATCAAATCTTTGTGTTTTCACTCTCAATCATTGGGGGCACAAGAATGATGGCAACCTAACCTGTAACACATTGACATGCACACATTCAAAAATAGATAGGGACATCTTTTGTGATGATGATGCTCCACAGAAGCAATCCAGTCTTCCTGGAGTTTGGTGTGTGTGTGTGTTAGGTGAACATCACCCATGTCACCTCGTAAATTCAGAAAAGAGTCCCAACACCTTGGAAGTCCCAACCAAAACCCATTGAATTGAATGAGCTTCAGGGCGTCAGCCTGAACCCAGTTGAGTGACTCGCCGCGGCCCACCGCGGCCCTGAGTCCACCCAGTCGACTGAGCGAGCGCTTTCATCGAGTCACCGGTGCCCGTCGGTGCCGCCCCTTCAGCGGCCTCGTTCACTGAGACGCAAATCGACTTGGGAAAGCCCATGTAGTTCAAGGGGCTCGGATAGAGGCCTCTGCCGCGGTGGTGGAGGCCCATGTGGTGGAGGCTTCCAGCACGTTCGAGGGTTCCACCGAACGGAGGCCCGATCCATTTCACGAACGATGCCCGGTCCGGTCCGGTGGAGAAGCCCCGGACCTGGTGGACCTGGACCGACACCGGACGCCCTTGAGACCAAGATACGCTTCACGAAGCACGGTCAGCCTCCAGGATCAAACCATTCAACGATTGAACATCACTTGATCGGTCAGCCGCACTTGGTTTTCTCCTTGTCACTTGAAGTTTCTGTGCAAACACCCATGATTTGAGGCAATTCATCCATTGTTGGTTCTGGAAACATCATGAGTTTGACCGTTCATGTTCCACCCAAACCACGGGAAAACATGGCACATGATAGTGATAGCACCCAAGAACTTCTCAGACCCTACACCTCCAGTCGTACCTCCGGTATGACTGGACCCTCCAAATCCACCCCAGTCCCACCGAAACGAAACGAAGGGTACGACTAAAGGCCAAACCGGGAGAAGACATGGGCAAGCGAGCTCAAACGACCTTCCGAGCGGAACCACGACGCAGAACTCTCGGCCTCGGTCACGACACGCGATGTAGACCACCTGGGGCGGTCTCGGGGATTTCTGGTGAAGACCTCTGTGGTTGGCAGGGGCATGCGGAATAAAGCCTCAAGATGAAGTAGAGCAGTATAGCTGGTCACGAGTGGGTTCAACCACGTGCTTGTTTTTCTTCCTTTCTTTATAATAGAAGGATCTGTATATGAGAACCAGTCCTGAGCGGGATCACAACAACATGTTTGATGGAATTTTCCTGGATATCGATTGTGTAGTCATCGCGTCTATGTTTCTTGGCATTGGCACCATTGTGATATCTAAAACCATGATGATCATCATCATCATCACCATCATCGTTACCTTGTGTCGTCTCCTACTGTACTTTCCGGCCGTCGTGTCGTCTAGTCTAAAGGCTGTTCTGTATCCCTTTCACATGTATCTTTTTCCTAAGGAGGCCTTATTGCAGCTGTCTCCCAGGCACAATTGAAGACTGTTTTGGCCTTCACTCATACCGTCCAGTACCCCTTGCTCCTACTCGACTCAGCTACGCCTGGTTACAGCAAAATTTGTTATTCGTTCGTTCGTTCGGTGAGATGCTTTGCGTTTGGTGCTAGGCTGCTGGGCAGTGCTTAGCGATCTGGCTCGCGCCGAGTGTGCTTTGCGAACGCACTTGGTCCGAACCATTGTTTTTCTGATCGCAGAATGCAAATGTTGTTCCTTCTTTTTCGCTTATTTCCCCTTTGTGAGCAAGCATTGCGATCATTGCGTGTAATGCCAACCAAAACAACACGGCTGTGGGTCTCAACCCGGATCCCCAAAGGGAGTAGTCCATTCTGTTCGTTGGTAGTCAACCCAGGTAGTCCGGTGTTGCCCCACAGCCATTCCCCGAGTTCGCGCTCTTCTCGCATGCCCCACTCGGTCGATCTCATCCCCCGTGATGCCGGGCCTCTGGCTCCAAGCAGTGCCAAATCAGCCGTTTTCAAGGGTTTAAGCAGGAGACCTCTATTTGGGTAGGGAACATTCCTGTGATTTCTCTCTATAGAACAGCAGGATGGAAGATTCTGGATGTAGCCTCATCCTAGAGGAAGCACGAGGAAACCACAGCTGGCAGGAATTTGGCCTGGTTTGTAAGCTGGAATAGACAGCTTGCATGCCAAACCAATGCATGGTAGTTGTGCAATCTATAGACCTACAGGTATCTCAGAACATAGATATCCGCGGCCCCCTTCCAAAACAAAAGCAAATTGATCAAACTGAGCTCGCCTCTTCACTGTGGAATAGATAGATAGATAGATAGATAGGTAGGATTAGATTAGGTTAAAATTAAATAGAAGAGAATAGGTTAGATCAGATGAGGTGAAATTAGATTAGATATAGATAGATTAGATAGATACGATAGATAAAATAGAAAAAATGAGATGACATATAAAGACAAACGAAAAGAAAAGATAAGATGGACAGACAGATAGATAGATAGTTAGATAGATAGTTAGATAGGTAGTTAGATAGATAGATGGATAGATAGATGGGTAGATGGATGGATGGATAGATGGATGGATAGATAGATAGTTAGATAGATGGATAGATAGATAGAGAGATAGATAGATAGATAGGTAGATGGATAGATAGATAGATAAATATTATAGATAGATGGATAGATAGATGGATAGATAGATAAATAGATAAAAAAATAGATAGATAGATGGATGGATAGATAGATGGGTAGATGGATAGATAGATAGATAGATAGATGGATAGATAGATGAATAGATGGATAGATAGACAGATAGATAGATAGATGGATAGATGGATAGATGGATGGATAGATGGATAGATGGATAGATGGACAGATAGATAGATAGGTAGATGGATAGATAGATAGCTAGCTAGGTAGCTAGATAGCTAGATAGATAGCTAGATAGATAGATAGATGGATAGTTTTTTTGCAGTTTGCAGCATTCTCCGGTGTTCCGGAAACTATGTGGGCGGACACGATTCGAATCGCGGCTTCTAGCCAAAGGAAGAAGCTGTGCACCTAGGTGCTCATGTGGAGCTAGGGCAGACGGGTCAAAAGCCACTTTGGCGACACAGCTGCATCAAAATCAAAAGAGGTTCCTGAGATGAAATCAATCTCAAAGGATTTTCATCAACTGACATCTCCGCATCTTGCCTGATTCCATCAGGCAGTACGGTGTGCTAATTTGCGTTGCATTCTGCGAAAACTCCTTTTGGAGGAGCAAATGTGTCTGGATGCCCCTTCGGGCGCTTCGTGCCCTGTGCCGTATTGCTTGGGGGGGGTTCCATCGAATTCCCTGGGATCTAGCGTCCCTTCAGGAAGGCCTACGGCTGCCTTCCAACCCTCACGTCTCATCTCGGGTAACCAACTGAAATCAAACTTACTAACAATTCCGAGATGCCCGGACTTGGGACCGGGGCCTGCAAGCACAAAGGAAGCTCGTGAGCAGTCCACGTACCGAGGTTGTAAGGTCAGTCCAAAGAAAACCAGCAGCCACAACCAAAGGTGCTGGGACACCTGCATGATCAAGCGCCGCTGACCGCTCCCGGTCAGATTTTGGGCAGGCAAAGGCTTGGGACCCAACCAGAATGCAACTCCAACACCAACCTCCTCAACGCCGGCGAAATGTACGCCTCGCAGATACAGTGAAAGTTTGTCATTCTGATCCGGCAACACACAGAATACGGGTGAGCCAGAAGTTCCGGGTTCAGATAAAACTTTGTACGTCTTGATCACCGCGTCATCACGTGGATCATGGACCCATGAATCTGACCCGTCATCATTCGGCTCCGCGTAATGCACATAACTGATGGCTTTCTTCCCCTTCGACTGCAAACATACATGCACCACGAAACTTCTCGTCTTCATACGGTGCACGTCGTTTGGAGATCAACTTCTCAAGAACTTGAGGGGTGATGGCCTTCATCTTTTTCCCCTCCGTCAACTCAACATGATCATCTAGATAAATCAACACTGGAGCGTCAGACAAAGGATCATCACACGTATGGTTCTTCGGAATCTCCAACCTCAATGGTATTTTCATCCTTTGACAAAAACATTCGATAAGGATTATCTTTGAGATCGAAGAATCCATCGTCCGGGAAGCAACCATCTTTCAAGCTAACCTCGGCCTCCTTCCGGACTTTGTAATCCAGTCCATGTGCCACACCGAGCAACACACGCTCGGAGATCAAGAAGAATCCAGTCCGCACTGGATGAGCCGCAGGTCGACCGACCACCACGACACGACTGATCATCTCCAACAGATGAACCGGAAGACAATATTCTTGAGCATGCATAGTCAATGGAGTACATCCATGCAGAGAAACCAAACCTTGCACTAACCGACTGTCAGTGCTGCATTCAGCAGAAAACGTAGATGGCGGTCGATTGTACAAATTCATATGTTGTACAACGATCACACAGAACACACCGACTCCGAAAGTCAGAATGGTTCCCCAACGTGACGCAGTGATGATCGCAAGCCACAAGAACCACGTGCCGGGAACATGCTTCAACTCAAGACCAGCGAGCATTCGAATGTTCATCAAAATGAAGTTGATTGGAGAACTCACGACCTTGATCCCCACGTCAATGACAGAATCATTCTTCCCTCGTGCCATCGTAAACAACAAGAGTGGAAAGAACAAGACAATCAACATGACGATCCATCCGAACACGATGATCACATGTTGCGAAAAATCATACTCCATAAACTCAACGAGAGCTGCAGCGTTGGACACCACCAAACTAGAGAATCTAGGATATCCAAAATTCAACGGACACACAACAGCATACGGAATCAAATACCACCAATAAACAGATTGTGACACCAACAACAAGTCAGCATAACACACCGATGGCATGATGATTAAATGACTAAATAATTGAACACACAACAACGCAAATGCCAACCGCTGTCTCCAACCACACTTGTCCCAATCAGTGACGGGAATGATGATGGGAAGGACGATGAACGCAGCAATGACAATTAAACCGACAAAGTTCATCGACCCGGGAGTTGCAGCGAACCCTTTCAGAAACACAAATATAGAAATAATGAACAAAATCAGTGATGGAGCCAACACCCCACTTCCACTATGGGCAGACGGTCCAGCGGTCTTTTCACCAATTTGACCAGCAGCAATCAATAAAATAAAGTACCCAAACGGAAGTCCCAACTTAAGACCAACCCAAACGCCCAGATCATAAGGAACCAACAAGAACAACACCAAGAAGAAAACAAGGACAATTGATGACAGAACTCTGGGAGAGTTGTGAGATAGATAGATCAATCGATAGATATATAGATCGATAGATAGATAGATAGATGGATGGAGGCCGTACCTTGTACCTGACCTCTTGACCTCTCTCGACCCGGACGGCCTCAGCATCCGCGCGGCGAGGTCCAAGACTTCCCGGCCCTGGAGGCACACCTCGGGCGATGGCGCGGGACCAAAGCAGTCTCCACTAAGCAACCAAAGCGTGACACGCGTGTCATGTTGTGAGGGACAATTTTGATGTCTAGGTGAGTTGGTTAAAAAAAATCCCAGGGCAGTGAGTATACTTGACGCTTGAAGAATGAATCGACCTTATATAGTAACACAAATCTGACATGCATATACGTACAATCTAAACCTGTTGACCTGCTATAGAAGCCGAAAGGATGCGGAACCTCAAACCACAGCACCACACGTAGGCCGCGTCTTCACGCACGCAGACCGCTTGGTTTACGCAGGGCCTGGCGCATGTTCTCCAAGTCGATCCCTTCCAGGACTGGGATGCTCTTGGTCCTGCAGGTCTCTTCCAAGTCGATGATCTTGGATTGGTCTGGGAAGGCCTCCTCCTGTGAATTCCTTTGGTCTATCCCAACCTTTGAGGGCTGGACTGGATGTGGATGATGATGGGGCCTGGTTGCAGGCCGACATCCCTAAAATATATCGGTGATGTTCTTGTTGACCAAGTGCTCCAGGATATTCCAGGTAGGACAATCCCAATCAATTCCATCTGCTGCGGCGATGAGGAAGGACCCTGTTGAGAGTGGCAGTTTCTTTCCAACACCCTTCACCAAGCGAAAGCAAACATTCATGAGACATGTGACATTGTAACAAAGAAGCTATAGCCTTTAGCCAACGTACTTGAACTCGCGCTTGCTTCCTTGCTTTCTTTCTTTTACACGACACTACTGTACCTACTGGCAAAAGACCTTCTCAACCCGTCCATGGATCTGTTTCAATGAGCTGTTGAACATGTCGAGCCAGGAGGGCGGGCCTGGCAGGTGTGTGCAACATCGATTGTTGCGGAGTTGGCATAGCCAACTCTGCTTCCTCCATAACTGGTGAAGAGAGGTATACCTGAAAACTGGCAAATGAAT